TTGATACTACTCTCTGTGTCAGTGTGGTCATTATCAAACGCAACAGCCAGATCTTTGGATTAAATGCATTATATCCACACACCATATACAATTTCAACTGTTTGTCATCTCACCCTGGCAACCTAAACCCAGTTGCGGAAAGCTTAACCCAAAAGAAAGAAAGAAGAAAGAAAAGAAGAAAGAAAAATAAAAATTATATTGCACAAAAAGTGCTATATAGATAACAGTGACTTGACAAATACTTATATGTTTTATTATAAAAAGTTATGCTATCAAAGAAATATATTTTGGAGGGATATATATTTTGAAAAATGAAACGGTTCAATGACACTTTGCAATTCAGGCACCCTTGTGTGCTGTTATCAAGGACATGAATAGCTGATTAAATTACAAAGATTACAAAAAAAAAAAAAACCCAAAAAAACACTAAATTATAGCAAGAGTTGAGCATCTTTTAGTTTGTGTCACTCTTGACTAAGTCTTGCATCTCTGTGATGAAGGTGTTTTCTTCCGTTTCAGCTTTTTGCTTACTGATAAAAGGGAGGTTTGTGTCAGGACTACACAGGTGACGCCAACGCTGTTAAGAAACAGACACAGTGAAACAACATTAATCTGTTAGTTGATTTACTCTTGTTTTTAAAATGCAGTTTAGATTTGGTGAATAGTTAAAGATATACAGTACATGTCTGCTCTGATTATGTCTCAGTGGCTTGTTCATCTCTTGATCATGTTTAATCTCACCTGTTTTAGGCTTCCTTTCTCAGTAAACAGTCGGATCAGCGCCCATCCAGGCACCAGCAGAATGGAGGACAGGGCCAGTAACCAACCTAGTGCGTACGCCCAGTCTGGGTATACATACCAACGGTTAAAAGTGAGAGGTTTGTACTTAACCATTGAACAGACAAAAGACACCTGAAAATGGACAGAAAGAGAGAGAACATTTGTAAAGAATGAAAAAAAAGGACAATTAAATCAGAAGAATGTGAGAAGTGGCTGTGTCATCCCAAGGCGTCATATAGTGACGCTTTTGAGATTTCGTCTACATCCAACGCACATGGCACCCTTTAGCGTCAATATGAGACGCAGATATATATATATATATATATATATATATATATATATGCGTCTCATATTTACACTAAAGAGGCGCCTTCTGGTTCATATATATGCTATATATATATATACACTCACCGGCCACTTTATTAGGTACCCCATGCTAGTAACGGGTTGGACCCCCTTTTGCCTTCAGAACTGCCTCAATTCTTCGTGGCATAGATTCAACAAGGTGCTGGAAGCATTCCTCAGGGAGTTTGGTCCATATTGACATGATGGCATCACACAGTTGCCGCAGATTTGTCGGCTGCACATCCATGATGCGAATCTCCCGTTCCACCACATCCCAAAGATGCTCTATTGGATTGAGATCTGGTGACTGTGGAGGCCATTTGAGTACAGCGAACTCATTGTCATGTTCAAGAAACCAGTCTGAGATGATTCCAGCTTTATGACATGGCGCATTATCCTGCTGAAAGTAGCCATCAGAAGTTGGGTACATTGTGGTCATAAAGGGATGGACATGGTCAGCAACAATACTCAGGTAGGCTGTGGCGTTGCAACGATGCTCAATTGGTACCAAGGGGCCCAAAGAGTGCCAAGAAAATATTCCCCACACCATGACACCACCACCACCAGCCTGAACCGTTGATACAAGGCAGGATGGATCCATGCTTTCATGTTGTAGACGCCAAATTCTGACCCTACAATCCGAATGTCGCAGCAGAAATCGAGACTCATCAGACCAGGCAACGTTTTTCCAATCTTCTATTGTCCAATTTCGATGAGCTTGTGCAAATTGTAGCCTCCTGTAGCTTTCCTGTTCTTAGCTGAAAGGAGTGGCACCCGGTGTGGTCTTCTGCTGCTGTAGCCCATCTGCCTCAAAGTTCGACGTACTGTGCGTTCAGAGATGCTCTTCTGCCCTCCTTGGTTGTAACGGGTGGTTATTTGAGTCACTGTTGCCCTTCTATCAGCTCGAACCAGTCTGGCCATTCTCCTCTGACCTCTGGCATCAACAAGGCATTTCCGCCCACAGAACTGCCGCTCACTGGATGTTTTTTTTTTTTCGGACCATTCTCTGTAAACCCTAGAGATGGTTGTGCATGAAAATCCCAGTAGATTAGCAGTTTCTGAAATACTCAGACCAGCCCTTCTGGCACCAACAATCATGCCACGTTCAAAGTCACTCAAATCACCTTTCTTCCCCATACTGATGCTCGGTCTGAACTGCAGGAGATTGTCTTGACCATGTCTACATGCCTAAATGCACTGAGTTGCCGCCATGTGATTGGCTGCTTAGAAATTAAGTGTTAACGAGCAGTTGGACAGGTGTACCTAATAAAGTGGCCGGTGAGTGTATATAGCATATAGCATATATATGAGCCAGAAGGCACCTCCTAGTGGTCTAAGGCCGGATTCACATATAGCGCCTAAAAACGCGTAGAAAATGCTGGGCGCGCCGCATTCTCCATTTTCCAAAGCGCCAGGGCGGTTGCGCTTCAGTTGGTTCTTGTCACATGACCTATTGTGCGCTTATGGTGCGCTTGCGGCATTCTGAAAAGTTGAGATGTTTTTATCTCGACGCGGCGCGGACGCGCTTGGAAAAAACGAGCGCGTCGCACCGCGACCGCGTCGCTTCCATCATGAGCGCGCATACCGCGCGCCTACATTTGAAATAACGAACTTGAGCGCGCAAAAGACGCGATATGTGAACCGGCCCTAACCCTACCCCAGACCTAAACCTACCCATAACCAAACAAAGCTCTGTGCGCGTGTTACATTGGGTGCCATGTGCGTTGGATTTAGACGAAATGTCAAAAGCGTCACTATATGACGCCCTAAGATGAGAATGCGTTGAGAACCATATAATGACCAGAGAGATTTGTTGGGTTTTTGACAAGTACAAAAAATAAAGCAGATGAATGAAATACAGAGGCACTTACTAGGGACACGAAAGGAGTCAGGTATTTCCAGCACAGCATGAATATGTAATTCGGTCGTGAATTTGTCATGTCTTCAATGACGTCAAACATTCTCTCAGCCCCTGTGGTGTTAGGGAAGAATTAAACATCACTGGCTTTTAGATACTATCATTGTTGTCTATTGTGGTTTCTGATACTG